TCAGAATGATTTGTTTAAGCTGCTTAAATGCAAACTGGCAAGTTGACATCAGTTATTATTTATTTACATCGGATCTTACATGATACCAAAGCAATACTCTTTTGGCGATCAATTTCGATTGGAATTAAGACCTTGTTGTAAGGCTATCTCATGAATATGATAAATTTCTCTTAATGTGTAGCACAAAAAATACTTTGTTGTCCGCAACCTCTGAGTTCATTGACCGTCCACACAGAAGGTTAGACAATCTTTTTTCCCCCAGTCATATGAAAAACTTTCCATTGGAGGTTTATTTTTTCTTCTAGATTTAGAGAAAATTACGAACATGAAAGAACGAGAAAAAAACTGACGCTGTCGATACGCACACAGTTGTCATGTCTCTCTTTTTTTTTAAGGGTCTCCCCCCCCCCCCCCGGCTCCCTAAAGGGGTAAGGAGAAATAGCTCATTTAATCGGCTAAAAGGGTTCTAAAAGGTTGTATGTGGTCAACCCAACGCTTCTACGGCTGTAAATGCGAAATAATTATCAAAGATAGTGAAAATAATCTAGAAGCAACAGAAATGTGGTTTCTCGTGGAAACTTGAGAATTTCGAGGATAGAAGAGAATTCCAATGAGGAAACAATAAAAGTTACCAAGGAAGGCTCTCGGACTTGCAACCGTAAGGTTGTGGGTCTGAATCCCGTCAGGGACCCGACCTTACGCGTATTTTCCTCACTTCACACATGTGGGAATGGGTACTCGTCTCTCGATAGTGCAAGATTTTGTCAGTTTGTTAGTGGTTGAGTGCGAGCAATCCACAGCCTGCGCTGTGTGCTTTCCTGGAAACTAAGAATGTTCCTGAGTATTTTGCTGTCTGCTGGGGTAACAATGGTTGTTACACGCATAGAGCATGCTGGACAGCATGCATATGCGCTATATACCGTCAATTTATTATTATTATTATTATTATTATTATTATTATTATTATTATTGATATTACTTAGGAGAGCATGTAGGAAGCTACAACATGTTTTCTGGGATACTCGGCTCACATAAGTACTTTAAGCATCCTGCACGCACTGGAAAGACAGAAGGCAAACGAGGCAGGTGTAGACCTTGAGAACAGTATTTGGAAAACCTGAATAGATGGGTGACGGGGCAACACCAGGACAATGTGGGATTTTTTTTACTACTCGAGAGCAGAAATATGGAGAACCATGATCGCCGGTGTTTGTTTCAGATCTGGCACTTTATACTAATGAATCGGCTTTCATTTTTATGGTAAGAAAGCTCAAGTCTAATTGAAAACATTTTTAAAAAAAATAGCACCAATGAAATAGCCTGAATTAAGAGATCAAAATAACGCATTTTTGCGGGTTTTTATCTGCACGTTTGTTTGCAAACAGAGTGCTTAGCTGGGTTTACCCCAAGATACAGAGGAAGACGTTGCATCATATCATTATGTATTATGTACCCATTTTATGTCACATGCATCTTTAATCCCGAATTCTACTCGCATTTTGGCATCAGTCGAGAGATAGAATAGGCATTCCGGGTAGGGTCATTTTAACTACTTACATACCGTCAGGTATATAAGGCAGAAAGCAGTCGACGTCATTGTTGTCTATCCCTAACCACTTCCTCTAGCTTTGACACATCAAGGCCCTGGGTGATTATCTCATCCCTGATCGTACTCCTACAACTGCCAGTTGGTCTGCCTCTTCTTTTTGTCTATTTGATATCCAGTACCATGTCTGATAGGGCATTCTTGTCTCTGACGTTCTCAGAAACACGTACCAAATATTTCCATAACTCATTTTTACGGTCGTTTTGATATCTTATTTATTCCATTTTCTTTATAAAATTCTGCGTATACATGTTGTTTGATAGCTTTTTAATTTTCGTTGAATGGCTTTATTTGTTTTACTTATCTTTGAAAACTGACATGTAATAGTGATAATACCGGGAAACTCGTTCTTCGCTGGCAACCCAAAAATAGGGGTCACATTTCGCCTTACTGAGATGTGTCCATGAATTAGACAAGCCAGAACTAGATCTGTCCCGAGCACAAAAATTCTGTATTTTACCCGAGAGATGATCACACTTGGTGTCAGTATCTTAGAACTAATTGTGATTTGATTTGTATTGGGCACGTTTTCATTTTTGGTTATTATTTTTTGTTTGTTTAGTTGCTATTATATCTTGTTCCAGGATCAACCAAATGGTATTCTCTTTGGGTCAAATTTCGAGATGCAGGGTTATTAAAAAGCAACAAAAGGGCAACACGGAAACAGGAATTCTTGTTGAATGAGGTAACAGGCATGAGGTTTTAATTCAAACGAGTTTCCATTTTGGTCGAAAACTAAAGCGTTCGTGGCTGGAGTTATCACATCTATGGCATACAAACCAAAAATGTCCACGTTTCTCAAACCAGATTCAGATTATCTAATTTTGTAGACAACACCATGGGCGTAAAAGGCTTCTGTGGTGGTAGATTTTGTTATATTGAAGTAGTGGGTAACAAATTACATGATTGTTTGTGGTGTGACGTGGCTTTATTCAGCCGTTTTTGTGCCGTCTGCTATTTTAAGATCTGTGATAATTTACGTTCATCATTCTTAAAAATAACCGAATCCGTACATTTCGGTGTTCGTGGTCTATTGAAAACAGCTTCAAGGCGCTCCCTTAGAGTTACAAAGTTCTTTCTGACAATTTTGGCTTTTTTGAGTTACTAAGACCATGAGGTCAGAAATCAAATTATAGTGTTCTAACTGCTCTATTAAAAGCGTTAGACTTTTTAAAGTCGTGACCAAGATATTCAAAGAATGGCTTTCGAAAAAGCTTTACATGTTGTGTAACTCAAAATTTTTCACTTCAAATTTGTCAAAGCCAGATACTGAGCAGATAAAAGTTTTTAATTCTAAGGTAGCGAAGGTCTGAGTTGGAGCCATACTTGCGCCAACTGGGTAAACGTTTTAAAGTATTCTACAAACCTGCACATTAAGACTAAAAGTGCACTTGCATTAGGTATGTTTTGCTCCATTTATCCAAAAAGCAACTGATCATTCCTTCTACAAATAGCAAAACCCTTTTCGTAGGACAAGTAGCCTTTTTCAGTTGCACTTTTTTTCAGTCTGCATTCCACCACCGCAATCACCAGCAGTGTCAATGCGACCGGGAAACCCCACTTTTTCTCTCTCCTTATCTTTTTTTCTTTTTCACTGCGGAAACTCTAGTTCAGTTAGACCACGTTTTCTGTCTCCTGCCAAAACACCACCTCACGCCCCCCCTCCACCACTCCCTCTCTCACCCATCTCTCTCTCTCTTTCTCTCTCTATATCTATCTCTCTCTCTCTCTCTCTCTCTCTCTCTCTCTCTCTCTGTGTCTGTTTATCTCTCTCGGTCTCTGTTTCTGTCTCTCTATCTCTCTCTTTCTCTCTCACTCTCACACTCTCTCTCTTTCACTCTCTTTCTCTCCATCCTCTCATGCTCTTTACTTCATTCCTTCTCTCTCTCACTCTCTTTCTTTTATGCTGTTTCTCTCTCTCTCTCTCTCTCTCTCTCTCTCTCTCTCTCTCTCTCTCTCTCTCTCTCTCTCTCTCTCTCTCCCCCCCCCCGTCTCTCTCGGTAAGCACGTAAATAGAGCACGCAAGATATCGTTTTCCTTCCTGAAATTTCTTCAGTAAAATGCAAATAGCGGTAAAAGTATAAATCCAAGGTGCACTACACCCCAAAGCTTTTTATTTCAATGTCTCTGTCTTCTCAAGTCCCCCTACCCCTCCCCCTACCTCTGGTTCTCTCTCACTCCCCCAGTCTTTTTCCCCATCTCTCCCTCGTATTCTTACATTCTCTCTCTTTCTTCTTCTTCTTCTTCTTCTTCTTCTTCTTCTTCTTCTTCTTCTTCTTCTTCTTCTTCTTCTTCTTCTTCTTCTTCTTCTTCTTCCTGCCTACCTACTTTTCTGTCAGTTTTGGAGCATCTCCCATTTGCAGAGTTAGTAATAGCTTTAGATAGTTTTGTTTTCATTTTTCGATCTTCTCCTTAAAAATTGTTTTAAACTTTCATGCTTTTCATTATATTATTAGGAGTTGATATATATTTCACAAAATTAGGAACTCAGTAGTCAGAGAAATGGTGGGCACAAATGATGTCAAGCATCACATCCAACACCAAAGAATCAAATGGTTCGGGCATATCATGCGATTACCAACACACCGTCCAGCACAACGTGCCTACATCACGACCGAGAAAGACCTGGATAGATGGAGTCAGGGAAACACAAACAACTCACGGCATCCCCTGACCCAAGCTCTCCGGCTGGCGACAGAGAGACGTCTCTTTATTCCCGCGACACCCAAAAGGGTAAAAGCGGCGGATAAAAGTAAAAGTAAAATAAAGATGTATGGAATTAATTGTATACTTTGTGGGAACCTTCATGTGCATCCAAGTTTTGTCTTGTAATGTCGTTCCTCGACTCATTTTCTTGTGTGTCTGTGAGCACTGGTCTCAAAAGTTAATTTTCAGTATGTTTATCTATTTAACGTGTCTGTACGCTTTCCTTTACGGTACTCTTGAACGGCAAAAATGTCCAGTAGCTTCCATCTCCGTTTTAATACACAATGGCCACTTTACATGCAAAAAGGGGGAAAACCTATACGCATATTCGAATTTGAAGGACTCAATAAGAAAAAAAGTGTATAAAGTGTTGTTGTTGTTTTTAAAAAAATCCCAAATCCTGTCTATTTTCACGTCCTTACAGGAAAGAATTAAGTTATACGGCTTTTATGCAAGAATATTTCGAAAATAACAAAATACTTTTCTGTTTCCCTGACAAATTCACATACATATTTAACTAGTTCAAGGCCTTCGCGGATTTCCGCAATGTTTTGCTCTTCATTCTAAAAAAAATCCCCTTAAAATCAATCTCAATCTAGGAACTCCTTGTGTGCATTGACAATGCTAGACAGAACTGTGTGAGCATATTGACCCAGAGAACATACAAAGGATAGATAACGATGCTCACGTGTTTGCCACAGAGAATGATGACCAAGCGTCTGCAGAATGTTTACCCATGAAAGTTTTCTTCAAGACCAGATGTCTGGAGCACGTCGCCAGACACGAGTCACGTGATTACAGCAGCCGTACAAGTGATCACCGGACGCTGCTTATTTCTCTGTTCCTCTCGCGTCTCATTTCATCCAGGGAGGGAAAACACACTTCAATTAGGACCTGTAAAAAATAGACAGAAACCAGGAAGCCCTGAACTTCTGCTGGATCTACGTAATGGCACCTTATCGAATAGAGTAAAGAGTAAGCATACAAGAGATAAAAATCAAGAGAAAAATGACCTAGAGACCCAGAAAACCAGTTTTTTAAAGAGCACGGCCATGTTCTATTTTGTAAGGATTCTCTCTTTGGTCTATCGAAGAGAACAGCGAAACGTGCCATAACTGTTATAGGCCTGTGCACTTTCAAGTCATCATGGAGCAAAGCGACCTCGGCGGTTGTGTAGTGTACAAGGAAAAAGTCAAGAAAAATTATCTCCTAACAGTTTTTAACATTTCCAATCAATTTTTGTGTGTGATTTCATTGGCTAGCAAGAAAGACAAAATGGTTTTGTAAACAAATAGAAATAAAATATAAAAAAACATGTCTTCTTGACCCACTAAAGTAAAGTTGTTCCTGCATCCGATCCGGGCTTTGGGGATTGCCTTGTTAGTGAGACAATTTCCTGGGCCTTCGGCATATTGTGGTAGGGTGGCCAGTCCCTTTCCACGCCGCCTTTACTTCCCCAACTCGAAGTGAAATACCCATCACTGCTGGGTGGGCAAGAGGGGGCGCAAAAAACCCGTGTCCGAACCGAAGCTTGAACCCGGACTTTCCGCTTCGGGGACGAGCGCTTGGACCCACCACCCCATCCATATTATATTATATAGTGTTTTAGACAATTTAAACTCTAACCACGATGCCATATACCACGTCGTTACTTTCGTAATCGATACACAAGAAACACTGCATCCCCTCCCACCTCCCATTCCAGCATCATTTCGTCTTCCTTATGAAATATGATAACCTGCATTCTTTTCCATCCCCGGAAAAAAGCAACAAAGTAAAATCTTTTATAGTCAAAACAAGCAAAGAACAAAATAATATATAAATCTAAACAGGAGTAGACAGCGTCACAAAAACCAATTTCCCTTGATCCAGATACAACTTACAAGATTTTCGATTTTGAATTTTAAAATGCGTTAATGTCAAGGATAGGTGCGCAAAACTAATTATTTTGTTGGCTGCGGATACCGATATTTACGACCCACATAGCTGCTGGTCAAATGAAATTTATCATGACGCGATTTAGCCACGCTCCTTTGTTAATCGCATAAATGGGATCTGTTGATTTGGGCCTGGGGCATGTTGAGTGCGCTTCTATCGCCCCCCCCCTCTCTCTCTCTCTCTCTCTCTCTCTCTCTCTCTCTCTCTCTCACTCACTCACTCACTCACACACACACACACACACACACACACACACACACACACACACACACACACACACACACACACACACACACTCTCAAGTACTAACTATTCTGTAAGGGGCTTTCCATGTCTAGAGGTTACGGTGTTCGCCTCTCATTCAAAGGTCCCGGGTTCGAATGCGGTAGCGACTGAAAACGTTTCTTCTCTAAAATTGTCTCCATTCACCTCATTTCCTGCTCTCTAGCAGTGTTCTGTCATCTGCTTTCGTCTCCACTTTCTGCTCCCACCCTCTCACCTCCTTTGCCCCCTCCTCTGGGCTCCTGGCTCTTTCTGCAGCCTTTCTACTGCTTCTCCTTGACTCCTTCTTACTGTTGTCTTTTAGCCACACCCCTGATCTTCTGGTAGGAAAGATCTACACCTAACCTTCTCGGACAAGGGCGAAAAATCTGGAAAGTCTGCAAGTTGCGCACGTTAAAGATTCCTTGGTGGTCTAAAATCGTTCAGAGTAGGCTTCGGCCGCCTCCCAAGCAAAATTCAAAATTTCCTACCAACTGAAAATGTTTAATGTGTCCCGCGCGCTCATATGACCTTATGCGGTTGCGAGTGCGGTAAAACACTTACCCCCCCCCCACCCCCCCCACCCCACCCCCCCCAAAAAAAAGCAACAACTGAAAAAAAACCCCCAAACAAACCATTCTGTAGTTCGTGCACTGTTTACCAGAATTAACGCTTCAGTAAAACCAGCCTACATTAAATACAAATCCCAAAACTTTTGACATGAAACGCGAGTCCACAACCGTAATGAAAGAGGAGTTAGTGTAATTGTGTTATGAGCCCATTAACACTAGTGAGATAATTCAGGGGGCGGGCAGCTTTGATCTTGACGTGCCTAAGGCCAAGGCACATAATAAATGCCATCTCAGCTGGAAGAAGAAAAGAGTTATTTATAGAATACGCTTTATTATGAGGACCATGTTCACGTTTCCTGCGTGCAGTGGTGAATATCATAGCCATACTTTTATTGTAGATATTTACTGTTGTAAATTTGGAATATAAAAATGGTCCAAGATATACAGCATGCACTACGACAGCATGCAAAACGTGACTTTATTTGGTGCTTAACAAGCTCATTGGAAGGATATTTTATGCTAAAAGAACCACGTGTCAAATAATAATTTCAGAGACTGAAAACGCAGAAGAATAAAAGAAAGACCAGTCAACATCTGCTGACATGGACCTGCAGTAACAAAGTCCATCAGCACATGGGGATTTCACTGTCCAAGTATAAGTGTGGTTCAGATTTTTCGCTACCATGAAGACAATTGTTTTTTCGTTTAATCTCAGTTTTCTGTTGGAGAATCATGTCTTTCCTCTTAGGAATAACTGATAATGTTTCTAGCAAACAAGTAAAGATCAAACATTGTTATAGCCAATGAAAAGATTATATCTGATTTGTGTTGTAACTGCAAACGACACGGCAGTTTGTACATCTATAAAGATCCAATGTATGAGATATTTCATAGCATTTTTTTTCCTTTATTTTTTTCTTACAGAATATAATACAGGAAGATTTGAAATATTTAGAGTTTTGCTCTTTTTATTACCTTGTTGTTATAGTTACCGGAGATCTAGCTCTTGGTGATAATATTATAGTCACTACAATGCTTAAGAACATGATAGATTTGACATTTCATTGTGATAGCTAGACGAAGGAAAAACGCGTTACCTTCTGCGAAAGTAAAACGTAATGCTTAACATTATGTTGCCCTTTCCCAAACCTGCAAAAAGAAAAGAAAGACTCCCTTCTTTCCCGAACACCTTTCTGAAGCGGCATTGCTGCTAACCGTAAATACTTCCTTATTTCCATTTATCTTTTCAGACCTAGCAGTTTTACTGTCTTTCATAATGGATTTGAGGGGTATAAATATGTCTTCGTCCATTACAAGCCAATGGAGATACATCCGATCAAAAAGCGGAACAAAGTGTAAGATTTCTTTGTGTATAGTCTCTCCCTTCTGTCTTGGCTGTTCCTCACTACTTTTTGGGGGGGTTTTGTGGTAAGTGTTTTACGATGCTCGCAACTATATAAGGTCATATGAGCGCACGGGACACATTTTAAACTGTTTCAGTTGATCGGAAATTTTGAATTTTGCCCGGTGGTGGCCGAAGCCTACTCTTATCGATTTTAGCAAAATCAAGGTATCTTTAACGTGCGCAACTTGCACACTGGTCCTCTTTAAGTTTTTTTTTCCTTGTCCCAGAAGGTTAGGTGTAGATCTTTCCTACCAGAACATCAGGAGTGTGGCTGAAAGACATGAGTAAGAAGGAGCCAAGGAGTAGCAGTAGAAAAGCTGCAGAAAAAGTCAGGAGCCCAGAGGAGGGGGCAAAGGAGGTGAGGGGGTGGAGGTAGAAAGAGGAGACGAAAGAAGACGACAGAACATTGCTAGAGAACAGGAAAGGAGCTTAAAGGAGACTATTTTAGAGAAAAACAATTGTCGGTCGCTACTCGCATTCGAACCCGGGACCTTTGAATGAGAGGCCAACACCTTAACCTCTAGGCCACGAGAGTCCCCTTCCTCACTCTGGCCACTGGAAGTAAAGGCTGGCCTGTTAACTACGAAATTGACTAAGGCCATAATTGCATGCAAACACACACACAATCAATCACACACATACACACACACACACACGTGCACACACGCACAAAACTGCAGCTTTGACTCTACAGACAGTTTATAGGGATTGACAAGATTGTAATGATTGACTTATTCCCAAAGAACGTCTGGACTGTTGGATATAAAACCCAATAAAAAAAGATTTTCTGGATTTTAACTTTCTTTCAAAACGAATTGCGTGGGATTTTTCTTTCATCTTTCAAAGTGTAAATTTTATAATAATGATCACGATTGCCTTACGAGACGCGCGCTATAGGGCGGTAACTCAAGATGAGTGCACTTCGTCTAGAACAATGTCCTAGCATTAAAAGACACTCCTTGTAATTCACCGAAAGGTTTACTCATATAAAGATTAGACTGCAATGTCTCTTCCCTCTAATATCATTTCTTTATTAAACACTTGCAGAATTATTCGTTGATACAAGAAGAACGACACATTTTTTGGAGTTCTCCTCCCTTGGACCTTTAGATGAAGTGTTTCTTTACTGAAACGATGTTATGCCCGTTTGCACGCCCGTAAATGTTAGAGACATTGCAGACTTGATAATTTTAGCGTTTGCAAAAGAGTCCCTATTTCTAATCCTTAATAATATCATCATCATCATGTCAACAGCAAAAGAAGGATGCAAAGAGTAAGTGTCTGAAATTCAATTATTAGTAACTCTCACTCTCAACCCATTTGGCTTGATTCTGTCGGAGATGGACGTTTAACTCTTTGTGGACTAGCAGTCCAGTTGTTCATTTCAACAAATCTTGAAAGACGGGCTGTTTCAGGACGCTTTGAAAAGAAAATACTGACGCCACAAAGAACCCCCCCCCCCCAAAAAAAAAAGAAAAAAACAACACAAAAAACCACCAACAACAACAACAAAACAAACAAACAACCCCCCAAAAAACCCCCAAAAAACCAAAACCAAAACAAACAAACAAAGAAAAAACAAACACCCCCCCCCCCTCGAATAATTATATTGTATCAAGACACAGCAAGTTCTGCAATGATACGTCAACCCAACTAACTGATCCCATGGCACAGGGAATATTGTCAAGTTTGATGTGGTTCTTATTGCTTCACCAACGAATATATGTCCTTCCATGATTATTATCATTCAGTGTATCCCATGACGAGTATAAAAAGTGCCCAGTATAGAGAAAACAATATTGACAGCGGGATCAGGAAAGACCAGAATAATTGATCTTTTACTTAGCATCACCAGGCTCCTTCAGGCTACACCAAGGAGTAATTCAAGAGAATCAGATTTTGCTCGGCAGTGGGAATAGAATAGAGGGAAAGAAAAGAAAAGGACAACCGTAATTAGATACTTCAAGTTGATCAACTACGAGAGTAAAACTAATGACGTGATTGTGCCCTTCAGAGCGATATCAGAGACCTAGCAATGGGGTCTCTGGCGATGCCAATATTTAAAGGAAAATGTATAATTGGAGCTGACTCTGTGGAATGATTGCACCATGACAAATAT